TGTACTCATCCCTTTATTGGCAGCTCAGAACACCACATACAGAACACCATGTACTTTGATGATAAGGTGATGAAACTGATGAAACAATGGTCACTTTTGATGTTGCATCACTCTTTACGTGCATTCCTGTTGATGATGCAGTAGAGGTGGTCAATTTAAGATTAAAATCAGACACCACTCTGAACAGCAGGACCACGCTTTCCACAGAACAACTGTGTCAACTCTTGAGACTGTGCCTGCAGTCAACCTACTTCGCATATGGGGAGCAACATTATAGGCAGAAACATGGGTGTGCTATGGGGTCTCCAGTTTCTCCTATTGTTGCCAACCTGTACATGGAGGAGGTAGAAAAGAGAGCCTTGACGTCCTTTTCAGGGACACCACCAAGTCATTGGTTCAGGTATGTTGATGACACCTGGGTTAAAATTAAATCTCAGGAAGTCCAACATTTTACTGACCACATCAACTCTGTGGATAAATACATCAAGTTCACACGAGAAGATGTAAAAAATGGCAAGTTGGCTTTCTTGGACTGTGAGGTCTCCGTTTCTGATAGAGGACATTTGCAAACAGAGTTGTACTGCAAACCCACCCACACAGACCAGTATTTGCAGTTTGACTCCCATCACCCTTTGGAGCACAAGTTGGGAGTCATCAGGACTCTGTACCACAGAGCAGACAGCGTCCCCACTAACTCAGGAGCCAGGCAGAAGGAGAAATCCCACACAAGACAGGCTCTAGGGCAATGTGGATATCCTAACTAGGCCTTCCTGAAAGCAGTGAAGAAACCCAAACAGGACTCCAGTCAGCCATCAGGTGAAAAGGAGGAACCCAGACCAGTGGTCATTCCGTATGTTGTGGGAGTATCAGAGAAACTGAGACGTTTATTTTCTAAACACAACGTCCCAGTGGCTTTTAAACCTCAAAATACATTACGGCAAAGACTGGTTCATCCCAAAGATCCAGTTCCCCAGCACAAACAGAGTACAAAGTAATATTGTGTATGCTGTTAAGTGGCAGGAGGGTTGTGATTAGTCTTACATCGGGGAAACTAAACAGCCACTGGCCAAAAGGATGGCCCAGCACAGAAGAGCAACAACATCAGGCCAGGACTCTGCAGTCTACACTCATCTCCAGGCCAGCGGTCTCTCTTTCAGGGATGAAGATGTTCACATCCTGGATAGAGAGGAACGATGGTTTGAGAGAGGAGTAAAGGAGGCCATCTTTGTGAAAATAAATCATCCATCATTAAACAGGGGTGGAGGCCTCCGGGTTCAACTGTCCCCCTCTTACAATGCTATTATTGCTAGTATCACTCAGCCTCCTGTGAATAGTAAACAGCCATCAGTGTGCTAATGATCCATCGTTAGTCTGATGATCCTTCTTGATCTTGTGAGCAGCTGGTTTTGGTTGTCAGCAGCAAAACTGGTAGATCCACGCTGAGAATGTGCTATTTGTAAGACTGAGCTGAATAGAGCACCTCAGACTGAGTAAGTCTTTCGGATGAAAGACGAAATGTTTCTACGTTTTTTTTGTTTTGCTTTGTTTTGTTTTTGAATGTCCAGAGGACCAGATTTAACTTTTTTAGAACTGACATTTAGCATCAGACCTTCTACTTCTACCTTCAGACACATCACCCTATCCAACACTCTTTTCACCTCTGCTAGCCCCAATGCTGTGAGCCTTGCTGCCCTTCCACCTGGTCAGAGTCAGAGTCAGAGATTCTTTCTTGTCATTCGCACCTCATGTGGTACATGCGGTGGAGCGAAATTATGTACACAGGGTCCCAGTTACATCCAACAATAAAATGTATAAGAAAAACAATAATAACATCTAAGATATGAACTAATAAAAACATCAACTAAATATACACTAAGCACTCATAACATAAAAACAGTCAGCACAAACATGAACACGAGTCTGTGTGAGCAGATGTGCACGCATGAACACATCAACATTGAAACAGATCAGCAGCAACATGATGTGATTTTCACAGTGATTATTCTAGTTAGAGATTCATGAGTCTAACAGCCTCAGGGTAGAAGCTGTTCCTCAGTCTAGTGGTTCTACACTTAATGCCTTAGATAGAGAACTTTACTAATTGGCTTTTATGTATGTGAATGTTTCTGTAAAGTGCCCTGAGACAACTTTGTTGTGATTTGGCGCTATATAAATAAACTGAATTGAATTGATATGAATTGAATGCTCCTCGGGCAGCACGGTGGCGCAACTGGTAGAGCTGCTGCCTCTCAGCGAGTAGGTCCTTGGTTCAAACCCCGGTCCAGGGGCCTTCTGGGTGGAGTTTGCATGTTCTCTCCGTGCATGCGTGGGTTTTCTCCGGGTGCTCCGGTTTCCTCCCACAGACCAAAAACATGCATGTTAGGCTAATTGGTAACTCTAAATTGTCCTAGGTTTGAGTGAAAGTGTGAATGGTTGTTTGTCTCGTTTGTCTCTATGTGGCCCTGTGATGGACTTGTGACTCATCCAGGGTGTACCCCGCCCCTCGCACAGTGATTGCTGGACATAGGCACCAGCAACCCCCGTGACCCAAAATGGAATAAGCGGGTAAAGATAATGGATGGATGGATGAATGCTTCTCATCCTCCTTCCTGAGGGGAGTGGGACAAAAAGTGTGTGTGCTAGGTGAGTGAGGTCTTTCATGATGCAGGTAGCCCTCTTCCTGCATCTAGAGGTGTAGATGTCTGTGATGGTGGGGAGGCTGACTCTGAGAGTCTTCTGTGCAGCCTTCACCACTCTCTGCAAAGTTTTTCTTTCTGCAGCTGTGCAGCCTCCATGCCACACGTTGATGCTGGAGCACAGGATGCTCTCCACTGCACACCTGTAGAAGGAGGTGAGGACCGAGCTTCCCAGACCAGCTCGTCTCAGCCGCCTGAGGACATAGAGTCTCCGATGAGCTTTCTTGATCAGGCTGGTGGTGTTGTTGCTCCAGCTGAGGTGGTCATTCATGTGTACACCCAAGTACTTGTAGCTGGAGACCACTTCCACCGCAGATCCTCTTATGTTCAGGGGGGTGTAGATGTTTTTGTTCCTTCTGAAGTCCACAATCGTCTCCTTTGTCTTCTTCACGTTGATGTGAAGGTTATTCTCTTTGCACCAGCTCTCCAGGTGTTCCACCTCTTGCCTGTAGCTGGACTCATCATTGTTTGTGATGCATTCCACCACTGTATCATCTGCAAACTTTACAATGTGACAGTCTGGATGGGTAGCTGCTAGGGGTTGAACGAGTATATAATTTTTAAACTCGACATTAACATAAGAAAACCTGAGTAGAACTCGAGTATTTGATGACGTCATAGATCTCAAGATACAAAAATAAATAAATAAATAAAACTGCAAAAACAGGTAATTATTTACAAAAAAAAAAGACCAACAAAACATTGGGAGCGTATATTATGCTCCTACCATTTATCATATTGCAAATAAGTCTCAGGAAAAACAAAACTATTAGTTATTATTATTAAACTGCAAACGTGAAGAATCATGCAGCACGTCAATAATGAAACTTAAACCGAAACTGGTTCTGGTTCGGTGGATTGGACCCGGTGTTACACCATACTCTGTGACCTGCAACAGTGCAACACCGCCCCCTACGGTCATACGGTGGTCACATAATATGACGTCACTACGGATACTCGATTTTAAATTTTTAACCTCGATAGATGTCCTAGTAATCGATATGCAGATTACTCGAGTACTCTGTTAATGCCCTAGTAGCTGCACAATCATACGTGAGCAGAGTAAACAGGAGGGGGCTCAACACACATCCCTGAGGAGAGCCAGTGCTGAGGGTTATGGTGGAGGAGGAGAAGTTGTGGATCCTCACTAACTGTGGTCTGTTTGTTAAGAAGTCTAGTACCCAGTTGCAAATGGAGGGGCTTAGTCCTAGTGTGGATAGTTTGTCCATCAGGGTTTGGGGATCATGGTGTTGAAGGCGGATGTGAAGTCCACAAAAAGCATACGGACATAAGAGTTTTTCTGCTCCAGGTGGTTGAGCGCAGTGTGGACCACAGAGGAGATGGCATCCTCTGTTGATCGGTTCTCACGGTATGCATACTGATGAGGGTCCTCATTGATGTTGATGGTTGTTTTGATGTGAGTCATGACCAGTTTTTCAAAGCATTTAGCGACTATCGGGGTGAGGGCCACTGGCCGATAATCATTCAGACCAGTCACTGTAGAGCTTTTTGGGACTGGGATGATGGTGGCAGTCTTCAGGCAGGTGGGAACTGTCTCCAGGGTAAGTGAGGTGTTAAAGATATCTGCCAGCACCTCGCAGAGCTGATCAGCACATTCCTTCAACACTTTTCTGGAGATGTTGTCTGGGCCAGTTGCTTTGTGGGCCAGTTGCTTTGTGCGGATTAATCCTCCTGAAAGTACTCCTTACTTCGGCTGAGGTCACGCTGAGATGCTCTTCATCCGGTGGTGAGGTGAGTCTGGTGCTGGGTGGTCTGTTCGGGTCTTCAAAGTGCGCATAAAACTTGTTGAGGGCATCAGGCAGAGATGGGTCTTTGGGGCATTGTTCACTCCTTCCTTTATAATCTGTTATGCACTTAATGCCCCTCCAAATGCTCCGAGGGTCTTGTGAGATGAATTGACCCTCGATCCTCTTTGCATATGTGCCCTTGGCCCTCTTAATACCAGCAACCAGCTCTTTTCACTTGGTCACTTGGACACTTAAAACATCTACCTTCCTTCTCTGCATCATGTCAGCCAGCTCTTTACTTTTGCCTGTCATTGTCCCCACATTTAGAGTTGCAACTATCAGTCCTACATTCTTGACTTTCTTCTTCTCCCTCTGGCTCCTGACACATTTCCATCCTCGTGGTCTTCAACTAACAGTAGCACAATTTCCACCAGCACCCTGTTTGTTAACAGCACCTGTGGTGGTCATTGTTAACCCGGGCCTTGACTGATCCAGTATGGTGTTACTTATATGAACTTGTGCATGAATTTTGGCAAAATTGTTTTACGTCAGATGCCCTTCCTGACACAACCCTCACCATTTACCTGGGCTTGGGACCGGCACAAGAGATACACTGGCTAGTGCTCCCTAATGGCTGGTTTAAAGATGGAATGGTATGAAAATTTGTATTTCATGTTGATGTGTTCATTCGTACTCATCTGCTCATACAAACTCATGTTGGCGCTGCTTTTCGGCGTATTGTTTTTTTTATGTTACTACAGCTTATTGTGTTTTTAGTTCATGTTTTTCTTAGTTCATATCTTAGATCTAGTTACTGTTTTTCTTTTACACATGTTTTAATACTTTTGTTGGATGTAACTGGGACACTGTGTACACAATTTTGTTCCACCACATCGCCACATGTACCGCATATGGTGTATGACAAAAAAACTAACCTTGAATCCATGAAAAATGTAAATATATTTTTCCTACCCAATGAAATAAAAATAAATATTTTAACTGTTTAATCTAAGAAAGTGTGGTGGGTAGTGTTTAGGGAAAAAAAAAAAAAGTTTTGAATTTTATGGTGGCAACCCATTTTAAACAAGTTTGGACAATTGAAAAGACTTTGGCTTTGCCATCATCTAATGTTTCTAATGTCCTCAAACAATTTTAAGAATATGTAGAAATATCGGAGCTCAAAGGTGTGGTGCAGAGGTTAGAGAAAGTGGGCCTGTGATTGGAAGATCATTGGTTCAACTCCCGGTACCAACAACATCAAAATGTGGGTGGGATAAGTGAAACACCCACACCTGCCTCCACTGCTTCTCTGATGCTATGGGGGTGCATTAATTCATATGTCAAGGATATCATAAGTATTTAGGAAGGCACCGCTAATGCAGAGAATTTAGAACAACATATGCTCCAATCGGGCAGCACGGTGGCGCAACTGGTAGAGCCGCTGCCTCTCAGCGAACAGGTCCCTGGTTCAAACCCCGGTCCAGGGGCCTTCTGGGTGGAGTTTGCATGTTCTCTCCGTGCATGCGTGGGTTTTCTCCGGGTACTCCGGTTTCCTCCCACAGACCAAAAACATGCATGTTAGGCTGATTGGTAACTCTAAATTGTCCCTAGGTGTGAGTGAGAGAGTGAATGGTTGTTTGTCTCGTTTGTCTCTATGTGGCCCTGTGATGGACTTGCGACCCGTCCAGGGTGTACCCCGCCCCTCGCACAGTGATTGCTGGACATGGGCACCAGCGACCCCCGTGACCCAAAATGGAATAAACGGGTAAAGATAATGGATGGATGGATGGATATGCTCCAATCTAGACAATGTATATTTTTAGAGGAGGTCTTGCATATTTCAGCAATACCACACTAAACGTCACCTGTCTCCATTTTTTTAATCCAATTTTTATTTGTACAGGTTAATCCCATTGAGTTTCAGGGACTCATTTACAAGAGGGACCTGATTTTAACAAAAAGTGATGACAATAGTGGATGACAAAGACAACAGCAAACAATCGTAAAGGATGCATACAAATTGAGAATAACAAGTGAAAATACAATGGTTATAAAAATTGTAACAACCCCCCCCCCCCCCCCCTCCAGCTAGGTTGTAAGGTGATGTAGAAAACTCAGAACAGGAACATGTCTGTCATTATGTATGTACGTATGCCATGAAAACAGCATGGCCTCAAAGTAGAAGAGTTCAGGCGCTGAACTGGTCTGCCTTAAGTCCAGACCACTCAGCAGCTAAAACCATATGACACATAATGAAACAAAACTATCCTGAACAGCTACAAAGATATATCAGACACAAATGGGACACCATTCTTCTCCAAAGCTCCAGCAGCTGTTTTTTTTTTTTCAGTACCTAAACATTAACAGTATGTTAAAAGACAAGAGGATGCTTCACAGTGGTAAATTTTGTACTGTATTTTTTAGATGTGCTGCTGCCACAAAATCAAAATGATCATATTTTCTTTCCAAACATTGTACAAGTTGTTTGTTTAAACATTTTATGTGTTTATGCTTTAATTTAATTAGCCTCAAAAGTGTTAACAGTGTTGTTGTCCAGGTCTACAACTGAGGCTTTATTTGGATTTAACTGCATGTCAGACACTAAGCAAGGCCTCAAGTCCTGGTGGAAATGAGCATGAATGGATCTTCCATCCCTGTTTGTCGCAGCTTTTCTTGCCAATCTTTTATCTGTTGACAATGTTGAACTTTGCGTTTAATGACAATGTTTTCAAAATCTTTGTCTGTTGCTACTTTACAAAATCGAATCAGTGCTGCTGTATTTTTATTTGAGAATGTAGATTTTCCATTTGTGTTTTTTTTCCCACAGTAGAACAATGAAAGTCCAAATACAGTAGTTTCCAATTGCCTTAAAATCCACGTTTTTATGTTTTTATTGTTTTACTGCACTACATCTAAAAATGTACATTTTACTCAATAGGACATGTTAAAATTATAAGCTTTAGTCCTTAGTTACATTCAATATTTTACAATAATTGAAGACATTACTTCAAAAATATAACATACTGGTAACATTTAAACAACCTTTCAATCGTATCTGCTATTTTTGCACACAGAACTATAACAAATACAGCTAACAAACTAATATTTTGCATAATTAATTCTGTATTTAAGTCAGATTTAGGACTATTTTTCCACTCTGGGTAAAATGTTTTTACTGAAACCTTACATTTATGAAGGTTTTTGTTGCTGTATTTTTTATTTTATTTTATTTTAAATTTACAGAAATCTCTATAAAAAATCTCATATATAAAAATGTATAAAATTGAAAACAATATCTAAAAAAAATCGCATTTATTATTCTTTCTGAAAAGCATTTTATTTGGCTTACATGAATGCAGACAAAAGGGCAGAATTGGGAAGAATTCCACCTTTGTGCTTTCAGTAAGACTGTCTCAAGCAAAAATAAATAGTTAAATATGTTTCCCATAATGCAAAGGGACAGTTCTTCTTTTGGATGTTCAATGCTCAGTAAATGCCCATGACATTATCCCAAACTTTAATCTCAAACTGAGATCAGTCCATAGTTAAGCCTTTTGGGAGGCAGGAGCACGGGGGTACAACTGTTTTCTATGAGTTACAGTTTCTGTGACTGGTAAATATATTTTTGTGTTTAAACGGTATAATTGTGACGGTTTGTGTCCGTTTGGTTGAAAGAGCACACAGTGTTAGACAAATCACCCCAATCCCTCCTCCCCTAATATAAGCCCTCAGAGGAGCCGAGTGACAGACAGTGATCCGCTCTGACAGCAGTCTACCTCTGGTTGGATTAGCAAAGCACACAGATTTGTTTACATGAGCAAAAGTCTCGTGTTTGCATCATGAGTGTGTGCACAGCTTCGACTGCTCTGGAGGGGCAAACAGAGGATGAAGATGGTTACACAAATGTCTTGTGTTGTGATCTTTGAGGATGTTTGCACTCACAGAGAAAAATATGAAGTAGTTGTATGAACAAAACTAATTTATTATTCTATATTCAATAACAATTAAATATAAATGGATAATTTTGCAGATCCAGTTGTCTAGTTTACCGATCTGTACTTGAAGTAGGTTCTACAGCTCATTTTGAGTGGTGGAAAACTGCTTGTTTATTACTGTAACACCATTACATCATGTCATATTTATGTAATTGATTTTTTACAGAAAACATTTTGCCCAAGTTTTTGTTTTTACTTTTGGAAATACTTCAAAATTTTAGTGTCAACATTTAAAGAAAAAACTTCCTTATTAAGTTGTAAGCAGAAATAAATTTTCATCATTGTTGTATAGAAAATTGACAATTATTTTGATTTTTCAATTCAATTTATAATTATGAGGTTTTGGTTTTTGGACCTGAGCATCTGAGGAATCAGTTTGTCAGTCCTTCTCCCTCCTTAGATGGCATTAATCTGTCCTCCAGCTCTAATGTTAAAAATCTTGGTGTTATTTTTGATCAGGACATGTCTTTTATCCCCCACATTAAAAACATTACTAGAACCACCTCCACCTGCGTAATGTCACTAAAATGAGAAACATCTAAAAATGATGCAGAAAAACTGGTTCATGCATTTGTCATGTCTAGACTGGACTATTGCAATGGTTTATTATCTGTGTTTCCATATACTTCTTTAAAAAGTCTTCAGTTGATCCAAATTGCTGCTGCCAGAGTCTTAACTGGAGTTAGTGGGAGAGCTCATCTCTTTCCAGTTTTAGCTTCTCTCCACTGGCTCCCTGTCAAATCCAAAAATGAATTCAAAATCTTACTTCTAACCTACAAAGCTCTCAACAACCTAGCTCCATCTTAATTACAGATCTTGTTGTTCCATATTTTTCCAACAGAGCATTTTTCTCTCCGACTGCAGGTTTACTTGCGGTTCCTAGAGTTTCCAAGAGCAGAATGGAAGATCTTTCAGTTATCAGGCTCCTCTCTTGTGGAACCAACTTCCAGTTTCTGTCCATGAGGCTGACACATTGTCCATTTGTAAGACTGGGCTTAAGAGTTTCCTTTTTGATAAATCCTATAGTTAGGGTTGGATTGTTATGCTACGATTGGCTTAGACAACTAGAGGACAAATTGACCTCATATCTTAAAATATATTGTTAAAATGGAATAGTTTTCATCTGATACTATTTCTATCTTAAAATGTGATTCTTGACCTGCCATTGTGTATTTGTTCCTCCGTCCTGTTCCTCTCAAACCCAGCCGGTTGAAGCAGATGACCACTTGTCCTGAGCCTGGTTCTGCTAAAGGTTTCTTCCTCATGAGGGAGTTTTTACTTTCCACTGTCACCTTCGTGCTTGCTCAAGATGAGAATTCTGTGATGGAGTTAAACTCAAAGCAGTCTGCTCCTCAGATAAATAATAAATTATTATTATTTTTATATATGAATGTTTCTGTTCAGTGCCCTGAGACGACTTCTGTTGTGACTTGGTGCAAAATAAAAAAAATAAATTGAATCAAATTTAAATATTATATAGATCTTTAGATCTTTAAAGCAGCTTAAATGAGCCTGGCATTGCATGAAGTTATGATGAGGAGCCACTGTTTTAGCTGACACATTTTCTCTTGTGCAAGACAGTGGTTCAAAATGT